CTTTCTTCTTTAAATATGGAAACAGTTGCTTCATATTTCAATTCTTCTCAGAAACTTTTACAGTTCCACATTTGATTAATCAGAGCATGAAGGTTTTTCTTTTCCGTCCCTCAATGATGAATTAGCGCCGGAGGAATTCGATCCACCTCATGGTTATTCATATTCTTGACGGGGTGGAAGCCTGTTTACATTTATAGTTTAACTTGTTGGCGAATCGGCAGGCCAGCAGTGAAGAAATTGCTGGAAGTACCTGTCCGTCTTTTAAGGCGCTCCTCTGACCTACTAAGCCTTAGCGTCTTTGATCACAACAAGCCGAGTTCCCCTGGTTGTATCATTATTTACGTATTGTTCATCACTCACCCTTTCTGGCTGCTTTATCAATCTTTCTCATGTCTTCCTCCAGCTATAGATTCCTGTTCCGTTTCTGGCTATGATCAACTGCGAGAACGAGTCGGCGACGGGATCGATGTTACTGTCGGGTTGTGCAAGTACTCCAGTGCCTAATTTTTTTGCAGTCTAAATGCTTGAGTGTTGTTCGTAACCCAGGGTTGCTTGGCTATTCTCCTGACATATATTACGATTCTCAGCTAGGAAATGATGGGATTTTCAAAATATATCATCTATTTTGACATTGCCAATTCCCGATGGAAACTAAAGGCTATATCAAGGAAAGTCTCTACCTCATTTTGGTTGACCGACCGGTCCGTTTTGTTATATTTTAGCCAGCCCTCATCGAGAAGCTTATACTTTAACAAGACAGCGTTAATGCGACGACCATTTTTAGACGAAGTTCCTCTATGATCGTACGGTAATCAGATCCAATGATTGCACTAGGTTGCTTTCGAATTAGGAGCTGGGTCATTTGCGGTTGACGACGACGCGGGCCATTGGATGTTAAAGCTCCCATGATATATGGAGAATTAGTTTCGGCCGACATTAAGCAGTATGTGGAGCAAAAGCTTAACAGATTTCTGTCGTTGTTAATCACGCTGCCAATATCGTGATGACCGAATACCGCTGGGCGTGTGTTGTAGTAGGTGCCCACCTTTGTAACGTTACAGAGCACTAACAGACAACTGCAAGCAAGTGCGCAAAGCGTCTTTACACCTTCAATCGTATGCATTTGTCGCGCCATAGCCGATTGTTAAGCTCAATGTCGCCTACATGAGAGTCACGCAAGGGACCGGAATTTTTCCAACAGCTATGTCATCGAAATGATCGCCTGTCTGTTCCTACGAGACAAGAGGACACTAAAACCGCCAGGGCGTAATCTGCTGTTAATTAACCGCCAACTTTACAGTTCAAGGTAGGCGATCTCCGTTACCGCCAGCAGTTTTTAGCAAAAGCCAGTTCTCCGCGGCGTGCTTGAAAATCAACCTGATGGTCACCTCAGTCTGACACGAGGGCTGGTAGAACAAATGATGCTCAACTTTCTCCATGCATCTAACCATGAAGAACATAAATTTATGTTCTCCATGCTGTCAAATGGTTTAGCGCTTTCATATAATTTGACATTGTATGTTTTACCACGTTATTGATTGCTTTTCTTTAGTGTGCAGCGTACCGTCGGTTTATGAGGTAAGCTAAATTGAACCTGAAAATCACTTTATGCGACAGTACTGAAACAAATCTCGTTGCCGCGTGCGTATCTTCCATTCAAGGAATCTAAATCGTTTCTGAATGGGTTTTGGCGGAGGAGGTAGAAGTTTCGGTAGGGGTGGAGGTGGACGAGGTTTTGGAGGTCGTGGCAGAGGTGGAGGGGGGCATCGTAACTTCGCCGAGAGCAGTGGGCCTCCGGAACATGTCATCGGTAGGTGTTTCTGATAGTTCAATTACCGGCATATCCTTTATTTTATTAATCCACTGTTAAAGAATTCGCAAAAATGACCCACCTTTGCCAGCAGCAGTTGGTATGCGACAGTGTAATCGAAAAGGTACCGTATTTCAATGCTCCTGTTTACCTGGAAAACAAAGAACAGATCGGCAAGGTTGACGAAATTTTTGGCACAATGAACAGTTACGTAAGTATAGTTTTAAATCGATGGCTTTGCCCTGCATATTCTTTTTTCAGTCTGTGTCTGTTACCCTTTCTGAAAATATGAAGGCGTCCTCGTTCAAACCCGATGATAAAGTAATTGCTTTCTTTGTTGTCTTCAGAGTTATCGGTTTTTCCTTCATTTTAGTTTTTCATTGATCCGTACAAGTTGCTACCACTGGAAAGGTTCTTGCCTCAACCCCCTGGCAGTGCGCGAGGTAGAGGGGGCCGTGGTGGTAAGTTTTGCAAATAAACTTTATTACAACATAACCGAATTTGAAGTAAAGCTTGACTCTAACGTTATTCCTATAGGCGGACGTGGCTTTGATCGAGGAAGAGGTGGTCGTGGAGGACGAGGAAGCTTTGGAGATCGAGGACGAGGTTACGGTGGTGGTTTCGGGGACCGACAGAGAGGCGGCGGTTTTGGGGATCGAGGCCGAGGAAGGGGTGGCTTTGGTGATCGCGGACGCGGAGGTTTTGGTGATCGCGGACGCGGAGGTTTTGGTGACCGTGGCCGGTTTAAGCGAGAATTTGATGGCGAAGGTAATTCTTGACTTTAAGGTAATTTTTAAACCGATTTGCTTTAAGGATATTAGAATATTACGCGCCTGATAACATAATTGATTATAGTATTCAATTTTTTGAGGCTGAACTGCAGTCTTAGCGAACTTCTGCGGTAATTTGCTTAAAGCTATAAATTATGGCTCATTACAACCGAAATATCGGCTTGGTTTTATTATTTTTTACTTAATATTTTTTTAATTTGCATACACGCAGTTCGATTGTGCGTATGTATGAAGTTCGTGACATATTTTTCCTAAAAGGTACAATGTCGAGCCTTGAAAATTAAATCCCTGTTTAAGTTTTTCGCCAAAGTTAGTTTTGCATTCCTCTAGATTCTTGTTACCGTAGATATTATATAAAACAAGATTTAGTGTATTTTTAACGAATTTGTATGACAGAGATTTGCAAATTTTCACCTGTTGCACCAGTGAATTTATTTCAGAGTCTCAACGCTTTCGTTTTCCCCTGTTTTCCTACTGGTATAAATTATAAATTAATTATTATGTAATTAGTCAGAAAGTAGTGTTTTATAATTGGTACATTTTAAGGCAAGGTAATTTTTTCAGCTTGGAAATCGAAATGTTTCTGCAGCGCATCTGCATGTATAAGGAAGAGATTTAAAAAATTACAAAAATCCGATTTCACTTTTAGAAAAGTTGGTTTTCGCTTGAAGGGTTCATGTTAAATTGGTAACTTCCAAAGCCCATATTGTTGGGTCGATCGGAGCT